CCCTCTCCCTCCCCTCTAACTTATATATACTAGAGGATTTCCACCTTATGGATACACAAGTATTGGAGCCTCCTCTAGTTGATCTAGTGCACGTTCTAGTTGGTCCTAGTTGACTAATTAGAGCGAGCCCTAGCCATCACTAATCCTCATAATTAGAAGCCCCGTGTGGTTCTAATCTTCTCCCTCTAATTCTCCGGCGACGATTAGCTCTAGACGACGAAGCGCTGCCGGATCGTGAAGACCGTATGCTTGCAACCAAGTAGAGAGGACATACTTTCGGTCTTCCGTTTGAGGGATCGTTCGTGGACGATTCACGGGATCATCATCAACGTTCGAGGGACTTCAAATACGATCTACATCAACTCGTTTACTTCCGTTGCACTCCCGAAGTCGGTAATGATCATTGATGACAACTCGTTATGTACCTTCATATTGTTTCTGGGTGATCGTAGGGCGAAATTTTTTGTTTTCTACTATGTTTCCCAACAAGATTTTCAAAACTAGATCGCATGTTAATAAGTTTCCACGATTTTTTTTCCATCAAAAAACTGGGAATAAAGAACTGAACCGAAAAGATCAAACCGAATAAAATGAAACCCAACTGTGTTTTTTTCTTTTCTTTTTCCTTGAAAGCGCAGCTATGCCTTTTTTCTCTTTTCAAAAAGCACAGTTGTACTTCTCACAGAAGCACAGGCGGCTGCATTTTTTCATTTTCAGAAAGCACGTCCATACATCTCGTGGAACCATAGGCTGTGTTTTTTTTCTTTTTCGAGAAAGCATAGCTGTGCTTTTCTTTTTTCCGGAAAGCATAAAAAGAAGTGTTTTTCTCACCAAAATGTAGGGAAAATCAAGCAAAAACCAAACCCCCAAAAAATAAAACAAAAAACACATGCAGAAAGAAAAAGAAAATCTCGAGGGTGCATCTTGCGTGCGACACATGGTGGTGGCTGGGCGCACCAAGTAGTGCGCTCCCAGCCCAGGAAAAGTGCCCGCTGGGTTCCCCCGAAGGCATCTCAAAGCAACAGAAGAGCAGCAAACTTGAGAAGTAGCATTTCAGTGTCGCACAAGAAGGGCTCCTTTGATTCAAAGGAATTCTATAGGATTTCTGGAGGATTGAAATCCTTAAGAATTTCTTCTATGTTGGTCTTTTGATTCATAGGATTGGATCCCATAGGAATTTTTTCTATGGAATCTTTTGTACTACATTTCATAGGAAATCTAACATCCACTCCAACCTCTTTTTACAATTCCTTTGCTTTTCCTGTGCCATCAAACACTCTATGCTAATCATGTAGGATTCATGTGTGCATGCCACTCCAACCCTATACTTTTCCTATTCCTACGTTTTGAAAATCCTGTGAATCAAAGAGGGCCGAAATGTATGAGATAGTCCATGCCAAAAGGAATTTCAGAGGAAAAATCCTTCTATTGCCTCTTTTGGTTTAAAGGAATCTTGTAAGATTTTTAGAGGATAGGATTTTTGTAGGAAAAATTCCTATAAAGCCCTTTGGTTTGTAGGAATAGATTCCTAATCCTATATAGGATAAGAGTCAATCCTTGACATTTCAAAGGGGAAAAAACATTAGCCTAGGCTCAATGGAAAAAATCCTATCCTTGAATCAAGTGACATCTCTTTCCCTATAGGAAGTGAGATGCATGCCACCTCACTTCCTATGATTTTCCTATTCCTATGATATTCCTACCTTATAAATCAAAGAAGGCCTCAATGAAAAAAATCCTATCGTATGAATCAAGTGACATCTCTTTTCCTATAGGAAGTGAGATGCATGCCACCTCACTTTCTATAATTTTTCTATTCCTATGATATTCCTACCCTATAAACCAAAGAAGGCCTTATCATGTGGAGCCACTTGAACGACCAAAAAAAAAGAACAAGATCACAACAGATTACTAGATACATTGATCACTGGATCTTCAATTCTTCAAGTTAGCAGTCAATATGAACATCAAAATCAATATCCAAACTGGAGCTTATGAAATTTACTCTGTAACAAATTAATATTTTGCAATAGTACCATATCAGGCCGAAGAAGAAAACAATTGCAACAAATGAGTGTACAACAACAGCGGAAGAAGAAGAACTAGTATATCTTCTACGGTCATTTGTATTCTTGGAAATTGACATGGCCGGTGGCTTGTGCGTGTTCCACAGCTTCCTGCAACGTTTAAGGGCTTTCAATATCCCTATAAAATAGGTTTCCCCACAGATTGATAGAAATATTGTGCGGTTAAGGCATTGAGAGTCTCACCTTTTGACCAATGACACCAATTTGGCACACGCCGCAGCGCAATGTAAAGTTTGCGGTGTCTGTGTAGCTCCTCTTCCTACAAATTGCATGCCCAACCAAAGTCAGTAACATTTCTACCAAAATATTATCTTGGTTTATAGTCAGCTGACAGATTACAGCTGCTTTCTGACAATCTCGAGACCAGATGGGTAAGCTAAAACGACTACTCGTGATCATGCTGACAGATTTAAAAAAGGACGAAAGCTATTTAGCACCACATTAATTACAGAACAGGTCACGAGCATTTATTTTTAATTATTATCAGTGCAAATTTTACATCGTGTTACAACACCTTCCATATGCATTACTCATTAGAATGTTCAGTTCAATTGCTGACCATTGACCATTAGCCACAATCAATGTTTGAAGAGTTAAAAATATAAATGTTACATGCTGAAATAAGCATTATGGTTCGGAACACTTAAGTGATAATAGACAAATACATACCTATGTGCCTCCTTTGCTAAGTTCAGAGCAAGGCCTTCTACTGGACCAATTGAGCGGTTCTGGTCAACAACGTAGATGGTCTGATCAAATTCTTCTGGTGCCCCTTCAGCTGGAGACGTCTGAATTTTTGTTGATAAAAACAGATAAAATTAGTTAATACCGCATTGTGTCGTTTTCAATCGTGTGAGTTGCTATCACAAAAACTTACTGCTAAAGCATCGTAATGCAACCCATCATAAATGAGCATTGCCCTCTCATTGTAGTTCTTCCCCTGTATCAGCGGATGTAAAGCTAAGAACTAGCAAAAGATTCTGAACAAACAGAAGTAAACATATAGAGCCACCGACCTGACCATACAGATCACATCGTGTTGTCTGGATGTCATATGCAGCAATTTCACGCCCATAATATTCTGACAGAATTGAAAGTTCTATGGCACCTTTACAACGAAAAAAAAAGGTGAATTAGTGAACTAAGCAGCAGCACACACTGACATCTAATGAAAACCGCCATCAAAGAAAAACTTATATGAAAATTAGTGTTTATGCCTGTAACAGATGTAGAACAGATACACCTCCACTGACCAACTGGAGTGCGTCATGTTACAAGTGGTTGCTTTGCACCACAAGAACAAGAACATATGAAATATGAACTAATACTACTACCTCCATAACTAAATGACTGAACTGCAAAAACATCTTATATTTAGTTACGGGGGTAGTAGTATATTACTAATGGAGGCTTATAGTTTTATGGTAGAGATGCCTAACGAGGAATGCTGAGTTCTTGAGTCATGGCAATTTTCTTAGGATAAGGTCCCGATATTATGTTTTTCTCTTGGGGCAAAGAGGATGTCTAATGCAAATTCTGGGACATGATATGACTGCATCGCTACCAGTCTTCAAACAAAATTGTACATGAGCATTTCAAACTAAGTAGTTTCATCATCGATATTGCTGCACATGAATCATAGCACTGAAACTCACCTCCCCACTTATCAGGGTCCATAATCCAAGCACAATATGCTTCATTTGGTTTCCCAAGAAATGCTTCGTTGTACTTTTCAGGATCACTTGCAACCGCTGCTGCTATGACCTTCAAGCAAACGGGGAATAAAAAGTAGCAAAGTCAGCACTGTAAGTTTAGAAAGGTAAGCAAAAATGAGATGACACGTACAGTCCAACAATTTGTAAATAACAGTTTCTAGCTAAAAGGAACATCATGGTGTACAAAATAATGTTTTATTGCTTCATTTATCTGACCTACGCTAATGTAATCTTCAATCGTGTTAGTTTTTGTTCTCTACAGATAGATTGTACAGGCAGAACACGTCTAGGTTATTTACACACATGATTTGAAGGACAGAATATCGTGGAAGTATTTCAAGGACTTTGATGTTTTGAAGCTGCTGGTATGTGAATGATGCACAATTACTTCCGCATTGGAGGACTGAAGCTTATCATTCTAAAATCGTTTAGGGTACTTGATAAGCATGCTATGCTCTTTCTACTGTACATTAAATGTGTTGTGGTCTCAATTTTCTGTCAAAAACCAGTAGTGTGATGACTTGCAACTGCATTGATTGGAACAGCTTTTCTGGATGAGATGGTCTCATGCCGTTTTGACGACAATACCGAAATATCTTAAGAGTCATATATGAGTTGCTGGATGTTAATTGAACTGATATAAGATAAAATTCTTCTAGAACTTATATAATGACATATTTTGATCAACTGATGCGATAATGTTCAGTTGGCTCTGACAACACAGCAGTTGTGCCAAATTGCCAAACAGACATCAGAATCAATTACCTGCCTGAGCTCAGAAGCCTTATTTTTGTTATGCTCCATCACATAACTGCACCAAGAGAGGTGTTGAGAAGCACAGTCAGCGACGGCATCATCTGCGAAATCGTTTCCTTACTAGTGCAGCATATACAGGTGCAGAATCATACCCGACGGCATTGAAGAGGCAACTGTTGTCCGAAGGGATCACTCTCCTCACAACAACGCCATCCATTTCCACGCAGCCAGGAAACACGTCTGAATCACTGAAACGGTGAACAAAGATTCAGAACCGCGCTCAAATAGGACTGGTACTGCACACATCCCAATCGACATTTTCCACTTGGAATTAGACGTCAGATTGAAAAATAACGGAAAAATAACAGCGAATACATAGTAATACACATTACTACTGGAGACAGTGTGCATTTTCACTTGGAACAGGGAGAAGATGCCCAGGTTGACATCGTGACGTAACAACTAACGACAGCAGGTACCGCGGACGCGTGATCTGCTAATTCGAACCGCGCGTAATGGCGAGGTACCACGCCCGAACGGCACCTCCTACCGGCTCGGCGGCGCTATAACGAGGCAAACGAGACGGTACACCATAACCAGGCAATCCACCCACTCGCCAACTACCACCAAGAAACGGCCAATCGAACCAATCCCGCACTATCAGGTGGCATGGCAGGCAAGAGGCGTCAAGGGATTCGGGCGCTCGCGAGCTACGGCGAAGGAGAAGCAAGCAGGCGGAATCACGCGCGCGCGCACACACACACACGCACACAAACCTCGCGAGGAGCGCTGGCGGGAGACGAACATGTACGTACCGGGAGGCAGGGCGAGGGATTCCGCTCAGGCGCGTGGCCGGGCGGCCTTCCGGTGAGGTGGTGGAGGAGGAGGAGGAGGAGTCGGCGGCGGCTGCGTCGGAATCGACGGAGAGCTCTGAATTGGGGGAGGGGTAAGAGAAGAGGAGCGCGGGGGATGGGGATGCAGGTGCAGGGGAGGGAGATGTATGAAAACGGGCGAGGGGCGGAATGGGAAAGAGAAAGAAGGCGACGGGAGGAAGCAAGGAACCTGATCTGGAGGGAGGGAGCGGGAGGCAAGTTGGGCGGATCTGGCACGCCTCTGCTTTCGGTTTTGGCTTTCGCTCCTGGGGCTTGGCTGCGGTGGCCGAGCGGAGCTCCCCGGTCCAGGTGTCCTGCCTGGCTCCAGGCGGCCTACTTTGCCTGAAATGTTATCGGCTGCAAGGCACTTCTTTTTGAGGAGAGAGAGAATCGGGTGCAAGGGACTTGAGAAACTGGCCCACCGGGAGAAAAACGTCATCCTCCAGCCATGCGTTTCGCTAATGGGGGAACTTCGTTTAGGAAGCGTGGCGAGCTTGATTAACCAACCAATTGCCACATGGAGTAGGTACCATACCCGTATCAGGTGACTGCAAAAGCCAGACAACGCTAGACTCTACAGATAGGATTGACACTCTTTGAGCAAGATTTTTCTTCTTCTTCTTCTTCTTCTTCTTCTTCTTCTTCTTCTTCTTCTTCTTCTTCTTCTTCTTCTTCTTCTTCTTCTTCTTCAGAACAGCTTCGAGCTCTCAATACGCGTTTGGTAGGCTGCATACAGCCCAATCAGACCCGAGCGAGATGAATTTGGGTCGTATGGTTCCGTGCAAGCAGGCCTGACTCGCATCGACACGAAACTTAAAGCAGCCCAGAGCCTGGTTCACTGGAAACGCTTGAATCGGCCGTTTCCAGCGAGCCATGCTAAGTCGGGCGCAAAAGGAAGACGCGGCGTAAAGCGCGGTGCAGGGAGGATCCAGTCGGAGATGGCAGGAGGGGGGAATCGGCGAAGGCGGGATGGCGCGAAATATACCCTTACCACCCCTTTTACTCGCTCACCCATGGCAAGTCCTCCTCTGTTATTGGCACCGGCGGCGTCGACGAATCAGATATACGGCTGCGACGACGGCAACGTCGATGGCGAGAGCAACACTCCCCGACAGCAGCAGCCGCTTCTCCCCTTCTTCTTTGACTCCGTCCGGCCATCCTCGTCTCGGCATGCCTCCCCCAACCCCGAAACTGGTGAGCTACCCCTCCCCCCCTTCTCTGTTAGGTCGTTTGGTAGGAGCATTTAGGGTCGATTGCACCATTGCTGACCACACCATGAATGTCGCTTAGGTTGTGGATGAACAGACGAAGCTTTTAGTTCAAGCAGCAGCGCTGATAGTTATGGTTCAGGCTTGGATCTTGTTGGTTCATAGGAAAGTTGTTCGTCGGAATGACAAACCTCTCATCTGGTATGGTTCGATGTTAATCCGAAATTAAGAGAGGATAGTGAATCTGAACTGCATCTACGATTGCAACGATACAAAGGCTCTGTGAATGCTTCGAATGAAAATAGCACCTTTCGCCAGGCTTGTCCAGACGTTCAGGAGCAGGGGGCTACTAGAAGATAGCATCTACACCACTATGGAAGAGCAAGTAGCCATGTTCCTCCATGTTGCTGATCATAATCAGAGGTTCAGGGTTGTACACAACACCTTCGGAAGATCAATGGAGACTAGACCTGGCCATGGGCAGCCCGACCGGCCCGACCCGAAAAAGCCCGACCCGGCCCGGCCCGATGCTGCTCCCGGGCCGGGCTCGGGCCTAGATTTTGAGCCCGATGGCCTGGCCGGGCCGGGCCCGGGCCCGTCATTTTTGCCGTTATCTGAAGGGGCCCGGCCCGAGGCCCGAGGCCCGGCGGGCTTTTGCATGTTCGGGCCGGGCTTGGGCCCAAAAACTAGGCCCGATGGCCGGGCCGGGCCGGGCTCGGGCCCAGGTTTTTTGGCTCGAGCTTGGCTAGGCCCGGCCCGGTCCGAGGTTTGGCCAGGTATAATGGAGACCATCTCCAGATACTTCAAGCAAGTGTTGTATGCTGTTGGGGAGCTCAGAGGAGAGATGATCAGACCACCAACCGGTCGAACTCCTACCAAGATTCGCACTAGTCTAAGATGATATCCATACTTCAAGATGAGCACTTACAGTATGTAGTTCATGCCTTGATATGTTGTTATTGTTTTGTTGTGGCCATAACAACATCTTGTAATGCCATTCTAGGATTGCATTGGAGCAATGGATGATACTCATTTTACTGCCAGAGTGACGAGGTCACAAGCAACATCATATAGAGGAAGGAAGCACGACACAAATCAGAATGTGCGACTTTGATCTGAAGTTCACATATGTGTTGGCTTAGCCGTTTACAACCAAACAATGTGCTAACTAATTGTTCCTCCCATACATGAAACCTAATGCAGACAACTAAACTACATGCAGATGTTGATTTTTAGCATGTACTCCCTCCGTTCCAAATTACTTGTCGCAGAAATGGATGTATCTAGAACTAAAATACATCTAGATACATTTATATCTGTGACAAGTAATTTGGAACGGAGGGAGTATTTACCAAACCAGACCGAACCGAGACAAGTATGTAAGATGCTCTAAAACAAAGATGTGAACCAAACGCATCCTCGGTATTTTGCCAAAGACAGAAAGAGTCTCCAAAAAGGAACATGCCTCCTAGCCAGCCCAAGAGCCACCATTGGCACTACTGTTTGAATACAGGAACAGGTCCCATAAAAAAAATACAGGAACAGGATGGACAGAGCCCATTGGTTTTGCCCACCGCCGCCAGAGCAGGCAGCTGATGGCACCTTTATCCGGTTGTTTCTCTATTCCTTGTCCCTACCCCCAACAACTTGCCTGCAGCTTAGTATGCACGCACATGGATATGGCTGATACGAATAAACTAAAGATCTAATCCACATTTCGGCAATGGATATAACACCACCACGCAAGAAAAGGATAACTCAGCATCCATCATTTCGTCAAAATATTTAGTATGTTATGGTGTCCAAGCAAGATGCCCACAAGTTGCCACCGGAGCACAGTAGCAGTAGCATTCAAGTGGGCGGTGCCAGAGTTCACACACACACTAGTTTGACTTGGTCCATATAGATTTTCCGCAAAGTCAAACTTTACAAATTTTGATCAAGTTTAAATAAAAAACTATTTATATCTACAACATCAAATATATACAATACGAAATTACGTCTTGTGATGTATCTAATGATATGTATTTGGTATTCTAGATGTACATTATTTTCTCTATAAATTTGGTCAAAATTAATAAAGTTTGACTTCTTAAAATATCTATATGCACTACATTATGAAACGGAGGGAGTACCTTCTTCCTGGTTTAAAAGGCCCACGCATATACCTAGATCAACGATTTGAGCAATGTTTATATATCACAAAAATATACCGTTAGCGACTTCACATGTGACATTTTTTTAATGATATAGCTTTGGTAATATACAATTTGTATTACACTGGCCGAATTGCCGATCTAGGGATGCGTGTGGGTTTAAACCGGAAAGGAGGGAGTAACATGCTCACGGGCCTCTGATGGCATACTTCTCCAGCTCAGTTCAGGAACATGAATTCTTTTACCGGAAGGACAAGTTCTGGGCGTCCTTGTGTTGTTAACGAAGAAGCTCGAAGTTACAGCACACGCATGAGCCCTGGCCCTGGCCACACATTTCGATCCCCAGCCAGGCGATTTGTAAGGCAGTTTAAGTACAATGCATTTGACTGGTTCAGCCTCAGGCTTTCTCCGTGAAAATGCTGCAAGAAGGCATCACGCCTGGGTGTATGAGTGCATGGTGTGTATTTGTTCGGATGGAAACGGTGAATAAGATGGTATACTTTGTCTTATCTCCTAAATGATAAGGGGGAGTTGGTGAGGGGAAGAAGTTTGCGTATGAAGTTTAGTGTTTCTGTGCGCGCTATGGAAAGCTAATCTGCGAAATATGCTGCCGAGAGACCTCATCTCCTGTTAGATAAAGCAAACAGAAGTTCAGTCGGTCAATGTGCTTATGATTCCACAGGTATAATATGCTCGCTACTTAATACTCAATAGTAAAAGCCACAACAATTTCAACACAGTAACAAAATGGGTGACACGCTGGAATCTCGGAGGGAGTACTTTTTTTTGACATAATACGCTGATATCTACTCCCTCCGTTCCTAAATATTTGTCTTTCTAGAGATTTCAACAAGTGACTACATACGAAGCAAAATGAGTGAATCCACACTCTAAAATATGTCTATATACATCCGTATGTGGTAGTCCATTTAAAATCTCTAAAAAGACAAATATTTAGGAACGGGGGAGTACTTCATAAGC